GGGCAGAGGAGGGCGCTTCCAGCCAGCGGGCCGTGGAAGTGGGACGGTCAGCGGACCGTTGAGTGTCACTGCCAGCGGGCAGAGGAGGGCACTTCCAGCCAGCGGGCCGTGGAAGTGGGACGGTCAGCGGACCGTTGGGTGTCACTGCCAGCGGGCAGAGGAGGGGGCTTCCAGCCAGCGGGCCGTGGAAGTGGGACGGTCAGCGGACCGTTGAGTGTCACTGCCAGCGGGCAGAGGAGGCACTTCCAGCCAGCGGGCCGTGGAAGTGGGACGGTCAGCGGACCGTTGAGTGTCGCTGCCAGCGGGCAGAGGAGGGCGCTTCCAGCCAGCGGGCCGTGGAAGTGGGACGGTCAGCGGACCGTTGAGTGTCACTGCCAGCGGGCAGAGGAGGGCGCTTCCAGCCAGCGGGCCGGGGAAGTGGGACGGTCAGCTGACCGGTGAGTGTCTGCCAGCGGGCGGAGGAGGGCGCTTCCAGTCAGCGGGCCGTGGAAGTGGGACGGTCAGCGGACCGTTGAATGTCACTGCCAGCGGGCAGAGGAGGCCCTTCCAGCCAGCGGGCCGTGGAAGTGGGACGGTCAGCGGACCGTTGAGTGTCGCTGCCAGCGGGCAGAGGAGGGCGCTTCCAGCCAGCGGGCCGTGGAAGTTGGACGGTCAGCGGACCGTTGAGTGTCACTGCCAGCGGGCAGAGGAGGGCGCTTCCAGCCAGCGGGCCGGGGAAGTGGGACGGTCAGCTGACCGGTGAGTGTCTGCCAGCGGGCAGAGGAGGGCGCTTCCAGTCAGCGGGCCGTGGAAGTGGGACGGTCAGCGGACCGTTGAGTGTCACTGCCAGCGGGCAGAGGAGGGGGCTTCCAGCCAGCGGGCCGTGGAAGTGGGACGGCCAGCGGACCGTTGAGTGTCACTGCCAGCGGGCAGAGGAGGGCGCTTCCAGCCAGCGGGCCGTGGAAGTGGGACGGTCAGCGGACCGTTGAGTGTCACTGCCAGTGGGCAGAGGAGGGCGCTTCCAGCCAGCGGGCCGTGGAAGTGGGACGGTCAGCTGACCGGTGAGTGTCTGCCAGCGGGCAGAGGAGGGCGCTTCCAGCCAGCGGGCCGTGAAAGTGGGACGGTCAGCGGACCGTTGAGTGTCTGCCAGCGGGCAGAGGAGGGCGCTTCCAGCCAGCGGGCCGTGGAAGTGGGACGGTCAGCGGACCGTTGAGTGTCACTGCCAGCGGGCAGAGGAGGTCGCATCCAGCCAGCGGGCCGGGGAAGTGGGACGGTCAGCGGACCGGTGTGTGTCACTGTGTATGGACTTGGTGCCGGCTGGCGGCCTTCTGTGTGCACTGACATCTGTGCACACCCCTGCCGCGGCCCTGCGTGGACGCTGACCTCTGTGCACGCTCGGCGCCTCGGGCACACGGTGGCCGATCGCGACCGGCCGGTGAGCCGCGCCGGTCAGTCGGTGCCGGGACCGAATACAGGCTGCGTCGATGGACAAGTCTCTCAGTACCATACACCACCTGACATTGCCGCACGGCCGCTGCCGGACATGAGGTGTGCATCCTTGGCCGAAGTCTCCAGCGCCAAGCAAATTCTCACAGCGGTGCTGACATCACGGGATCCAGTGCTGTCCTGAGTGAAGCGTCTTGTCCAAAAGGGGTGGCCGGCCTCTCAGCACGGACTCGGAACTGTCTGCATTGCTGGTAAACGGCTGGCATTGTCCGTATGCTGCGGCGTGCTCATGTGGGGTCACCGAGTCGTTATTTCGAGCAGGGCACGTAAAGCGATCTTGGCCGAGCTCCACGTGGCGCAACCTGGAGTAAGTTGCATGAAGGCTCTAGCAAGAGGCTGCGTCTGGTGGCCGCTCATGGACAAGGTCATCGAGCGTGTCGGGAGCCTGTGTCGGGCATGCCAGGAGAGCAGGCCAGCACCTGATCGCGCTGCCCTCCGCATGTAGCCCTGGCCGGATCGTGCCTGGTCACGGATACACATCGACTTTGCCGAGCCCACGAAAGGAAGGTACGTGATGGGCGTGGTAGACGTTGATTCTAAGTGGATTGAGGCAGAGTGCTGAACCACTGTCAGCTCCAAGTCGACGATTACTAGGCTGGGAAATGTGTTCCCGATGGGGATTACCAGACACGGTTGTGACTGAAAACGCCACATCATTCACCTCATCCGAGTTTCAATGTTTTATGCAGGGAAATGGCAGACATCACAGGACGAAAGTACCTCGCCACAGCCAAGGCAACGGATTGGCTGAGCATGCTGTGCGTGATGTCAAGCTTGCCTAGTAGAGGTCTGACGACAACTGGGAAGATGCTTTGTCTCGTTGGCTGCGCTGTCAGAATATCACACCTCACAGCACGACCTCAGTTTATCCCTCAGAGCTCATGGTTGGACGCAGCATCCGGAGCCGGCTGGATCTCCTTCACCCGGACATGCGGAAGGGAGTGACTGAGCATCGGGTGAAACAGAAGGAATTCATGACAGCAAGGTAAGATCTGAAAGAAGATTTGGTGTGTCATATCTCGTGTTTTTTTTTCCAGAAACTACGGTGATGGGTCGCCATGGGCTGCTGGAGTGGTCGTTGGTGTCGACGGGCCAGTATCGTACGCGATCGAGCTAGAGGACGGCAGGATATGGCGACGGCATACTGATCAGTTGAGACGTAGACTAAACGGAAACACGGTTACAGAACCTCCTGCGATGACTGCTGGTGCAGCCGAGACCGTGGCCGAACCAGGAGTGCGGCTGCAGAGGAGCCGACGCCGCCGACCCAGCTGCACGCGCCTCTGCTCAGGATGTCGAGCTCCGCCTCCCAGCGACCGCCGACCTGCTTACCCGGACTGGATCCTGCCGCACGGCGGCTGCCGGTGGAAACTTCTGTGACTGGGCACGCAGGTGCCATTAGCGAAGGCGCCTGCGCCATCAGGCGATGATTGTCTCGAAGTGGCGGTGCCCCCCGATAGCGGCGGGCTGACGGCTGCGAAACAGTTAACGTCCGTACCGGCGGAGTCGGGTGCTAGCGAAGCTGGTGATCGCCGGTTGGGCCGATTGCGGAAACAAACTGATTTTTTTTCATAGTTATGTGTTGGTGTGCGGCGCAATAGCTCATTTTCTTCGGGAAGGGCAGTGTAGAGACTTGGTGCCGGCTGGCGGCCTGTCTGTGTGCACTGACATCTGTGCACACCCCTGCCGCGTCCCTGCGTGGACGCTGACCGCTGTGCACGTCCGGCGCCTCGGGCACACGGTGGCCGATCGCAACCGGCCGGTGAGTCGCGCCGGTCAGTCAGTGCCAGGACTTAATACAGGCTGCGTCGATGGACAGGCTTCTCAGTACCATACACACTGCCAGCGGACAGATGAGTTCAGTGGGAGTGCGACACTGCGACTCCGGTGTAGGTGTGACGGTCAGTGGACATGCTCGTGGCGGCAATGCAGCATGCAGTCATTCTAGCACCCACAGAGCGGCATACGGCCAGCAGTGACCTGACTCCAGCCCAGATGGCCCGCTGCAGACCCGGTGCAAGACGACCCCCGATCAGCTGCGGACCTGCGGTCCGGGCGCTGGGCCAAAGGCCGCTACGCCACGGTCACGGTCAGCTGACGTCACGGCGGATGAGTCACCCGGGCCGCCTCACGGCGCAGATGACGGTTACGTGACACGCCCGCGCCTGCGCCGCTGGCGGCCACGTGGCTACCAGCAGTTGCTGTCGCTGCCGCCGCGGCGCCACCAGCGCTGGAGGTGTCCACACCTACCGCTGACGTCACGATCACGCGATCGCTGGGCAGAGGTCACACGATTGCTGGTCGCTCCCGCCAAGATGGCGTCAGGGTGGCTTGGCCTTGGGTGCACAGAGACATTAGGTCATGCACGTGGACAGGTCTATGAACACAACAAGATGCGAGGCTAGCAGTCTGGTGGCAGCATAAATCGTATCTCCCTGAAATGGGGCACGAGCATAACTGCGTATACGGTCGGTGATACTGTCGGCCGTTGGAGAGCTCTGGCCTGAACAATAATGGCCGACGCGCAACCCTGTCCTAGGGCCAGTCGGTCATGGCGGCCAGTAGGGCGTCAGCGGAAATGCAGGATACGACCCACCTTATTTGCGCCTAGTGGCAATCTGCAATCGTCGGCAGGCAGCACAAAGATGTTCCCTCTGTGATGGTTTGTCAGCAAAGGGAAGGGTGCAGTTCGTGGGGCGCCGCCGCCTGTAGTCACTTCCACGTCAGTGCAATGTCTGGCCGACCGCTAGGTGTCACTGGGTGTTTCATATGAGTCATGGGTTCGCACGATGCCGCCGCCGAGTACGTACGGGCGTTTGCGGCGCCGATGTGTGTATGGCTGTGGGCCTCGCCGTTCTAATGAATCTTACAGTCTCATCCGATCCAGTAAGGTGCCATAATTCCTTGTAGTGCATGATATCGAGATTATCAAAATGTGTCGCAGGTCAGCTGAGTGCATCAAAGGGACAAACGTTAAAGTGAGGACATGCGATGCTGGCGCTGACTCATTTAATCACAGCAAGTACTGGCTTGGAATAAGCCTGAACGGAATGTATTTCAGTCAATGATCATTGACTTCCTCATCTCAAAACGCTGGCCCAGTGCTCTAGCGCTAGCGGTAAGATATATATCTGTCCATGGACAGTTAAATATCTTACCGCTAGCCTAGTGGACCGTGACCCTATATCTCATCACGGGCCCACTGAATGGCCCTCAGCTCTCTCACCAGTGCAGTGGCCCAGAGTCCCCCGCCCCCTCTCTCACCGTATAGGCCCACTGGACGGCCGAGTGGAGCTCGTGTCCGTGCCAATGCAGCCTGGCGCAGTGTTCCCTCTATCTTTCACCTGTGACCCATGGTGTCCCTGCTCTCTCAGCGGTGGCCCAGTGGACTGCTGAGTGGAGCTCGTGGTCTCTCTCTCTCTCTCCCTCTCTCTCTCTCTCTCTCTCTCTCTCTCTCTCTCTCTCTCTCTCTCTCTCTCTCTCTCTCTCTCTCTCTCTCTCTCTTTCTCTCTCACCAGTAGCCCAGTGGACTGCCGAGTGGAGCTCGTGGTCGCGCCGGTCCAGGTCGGCCCCCCGCTCTACCAGCAGCCTCAGCAGCGGCTGGTGGCCTGCGATGACGGCCAGGTGGACGGACGTGTGGCCGTCCTCGTCAGCAGCGTCCAGCAGCTCCGGGCAGGCGGTCAGCAGGAGGTCAGCGCAGCCGGAGACGGTGCCGTCGGCGCAGTGGTGCAGAGCGCTCTTCTGGCGACGGTCCCGCTGCCGCACCGACTCCGGCTGGCGGCGGAGGGTGGCGGGTCAGATAGGGTCAGATGGGGTGGGTGTGAAATACGCACGGTGATAGATTAATAACCGGAAAGGTGTTTTGATGTCATATCGTGAAGGATTTGTGGAACTATATAAGTTATAATTGTTTTTTAGGAAGCTATAAACTTGATATAAACAACCTGCACACGTATTTTGAGCTTGGTGCTATGTCAATATAATGAAAGTGCTTTGCTTCGTACCGCGCTCAGGCCTCAGCCCTGACCGGAAAAAGTGTTTCGCTGAGCTCTGCAATGTGATAAGTCGCAGCTAACAAGGTGTTATTTAGGTGCTAAGTCTCGGCGGTTATTTTCCGCAGGCTTTACAATGCACTGACAACGTTTGGGCGGCACCTCTACGGCAATTTATTTGGATGTGGAGGAGGAATATGCAATGTGCATGCAGTTTTGCGAATGAATTTGATTCCTAGAAACATATAAGCTATGGAAGGTGGCTTAATGATTTGTGCATCAAGTGATGAGTGACTAGACCTTTCCAATGGACAGTGATTTATGGTTAGATTTCATGATGCAGGATATTCACATTTGTCGTCTGTTGTGGCAAGGCGTGGAACACCGTGCTTCAAACGCATCTAGGTTTTATCGCACAATTTTTAAGCGTGCAAATTGTAAGTGTTTTTTATTTATGCCATGGTGTTATATAGGCCCCACCAACTTATTGCTTTTACTTAGGCATATTTCCGAATCATGTATTTCAAGGACTGCCATTTTAGCCGGTTTTAACGTTTCCATACACGCATGCATTTGCCAGAGTAAAGAGTTGAGTCCAATTAAAGTCGAGGTCACACGCCTTTTAAATTGCTTTATGTGAACGCACTCGCGTGTGGTCGTATCTCACAAATTTCAGTCGGTTTCCTGCTCGTCGCCGCGTAGGCACAAGTTTGTGAGTTTCCACGCTTGGAATTTGAGAGCCTGCTGAAATTGTTCGACGTGGAACTGCCAGTGGGGTTGGGAGAACAGAGACTGACGCTTTTGATTTGTACACAGCCTGCTTATTCTGGCATCATGTGTAATTTGCTTACCTTCCATAGACTCGCTAGCCAACGTGAATGAATAAACATGTCTGACCCGCCCTATTTCAGTGAGCTTTGCAGGAACATGTAAGCCAATGTGTCAATCTGGATCCCTTCCAGTAAATGGCAACTGTAGCCCACAAACTAAACATTTACACTTTTCATATAATGACGCGTTAAGTTTGCTGGCGATGGTAAGTCCTATAGTTATACAGGAAACCTGCAGCAGTGTCTTCCGTAACGATCCCGATCAATAATTCAATACGCTCATTACCTTACCACGGTGACAGAGTAGGTCAAGTGGGCTTACGGTTACGGTCCACCCATTACAATAAAGAGCGGCCCCGTTTGTTAGGATAGAAAACAATGGGGTAATAATGGATGACACGCGATATCGGGCCGGAAAGATGGATTGGTATCATCGCCATGAGTCCAAATCGCTAATTAAAAAGAAAATGATGCAACAAATTGGTTTTCATTTTTTTCACAAATTTATTTACATAACTGACAATCACATAGCAGTACACACAGTACACAGAACCGGACACCTGTCGCACGCCCGGCCAGCGGACCGGTCCCAGGTAAAACCTCAGGGCCGGTCACGGATGGGAACGGGCGGGGTGTAAATCTGGCGACAGCTCAGCGTCCGAACCTCGCCCGCCCTATATGTCCTGTTATTACGCTCGTTGTCCCTGTTCGCGAGATGTGTAGCTAATGAGACAAAGTTTTTGATGCACCTCTACCTTCTTCTTTTCTGTATCGGCCATGCCCACTCGCATATTACCAAACTCTGCCCTTGTCATAAAATCACAGAATGAAAACATATCAGCTATTCCTATACCATGTTGTGCCACTTTTGTTCTGTAAATATAATATTTTCCTAGCAAAAACAGTCTCTGAATAGCAGCTGCAGCATCAGCCATATGAAATGTCTCATTTTCCTCGAATCCAACAATTATTGCCCGTTTGCTTAGAACAACATTGTAATGCAATCGCTCCCTGACCCTGCTCACCATTGCTCTCCAAACACATTGAACCTGTTCGCACTCAGCAAAAAGATGCAGAAGCGTCTCTCTATCTGCATTGCAGAATGTACACAATGGACTTTCTTCAGTGAATTTTGACACGAAAACGTTTGTCGTTAATATTCTGTGTACTAATCTATCCTGGAACCATCTAAGAGTAGTATTTTTAGTACAGTTCGCAAATCTGTTGTAAATGAGGTCCCATTCTAGCTGACACTGTAGATCGTTATTCCATTTTATTTGTGATTTTAAACCATCCCGTGTTTTAAAGTAGGGGAGAGTGGGGCAAAGCGGCCACCCGGGGCAAAGCGGCCACCCATCGTTTTAGCCCTCCACAGCTGGCGTTAGCTCCAATTTATGGTTTCCAATTATACTTCTCTTCGCGGTCGTTCGAATGAGCCAGACCGGGGTTTCAGGCCCATCGCCATTGTTTAGTGAAACACGGAAAAGCATTTCTTGCCAGGTTACCAATTATGTTTGCAATTTTTAAATGTTATTTTATTCCATAACCGTTTGGAATTTTTATAAGCGTTTTTGTCCATGCATTGCGTGGTTATCATACATGCCTTCTACCAATTTTAATGCTTTTTACCCCACTAATAGCTGAGCTGGAATATTTTTGTCTCGGACGGTATGTGCGGGGCAAAGCGGCCGGGGCAAAGTGGCCAGCCCCCAATTGGTCATAAGTTGTTTCCATCTGGATAAAAACATTATTTATATTCAAATGTGTCGTCATGCATTCATCTTGGCCACTTTTCGGTTACATGAGTTACCAAATTATGCAATTAAATGTTTTTCCAAGAAAATTCTTTCTTTGTTTAGCAATAGGTGGGAAGATAACAAAGTAAACATCCATCTTCCCTTAAACCTTGTCACCATCAAATACCCTAGTCGTGCATGAGCGAACTATTCTGTTTCTCATATCGGGACTTGAGAAGTCGCCAGTGGCCGCTTTGCCTCAGGGGTGGGGCAAAGTGGCCAATATGCTATAGGTTTAAAGATTTGTCAATATCTCCCATATGTGAACGCCTTTGGAAATGAAACGCAGTTGGAATAAAAGACAATTTAATAGGGATCACACTGGTATAGAAAGAATCTTTCTAAGTTTAAAAATCAAGCGTCGGCATCGTTAGAAACGTTAGGGTGGCCGCTTTGCCCCACTCTCCCCTACTTATGCTGTAGCATTGTCTTATAGTATATCCTACATCCTCCCTTACATCCTAAGAGAGTTGCCAACGCTGGCTGCATTTTAGGTCCAATGTCATGAGGTGGCAACTCCCCCGTATATGCTGTCCTTATTACTCTAACAATGCCCGCGAATTCAAGCTGTTGGAGACGCAAGCCATAAGTGTTGTTTATTTCAGCAATATTCATAAACCTTCTTTCATCCGTCCAAACGTCACCTACATTGGTACAACCAGCTCTGTATAGACGGCCATTCCACATAACTTTGTGATTACGCTTGAAGAAGGAGGACAAAAACAAAGGTTGCGTCTTAACATTTTCCGGTAAGACTTCAAAACACTTTTTGAAGGCATCCCATTTACTAAAAACCTCCCGCCAGAACGGATTGATACCATCTGAAACCGAACCTACAGCTTTCGAGAAGCTTGCATCACCACACGAGAAAAGAATATCATTTTTACATAGCTGCATTTCTGCTAAAAACTTCCAAGCATCTTCCGAGCATACATATCTTTTCATCCAGGAAATTTTCAAAGAATCATTATATGTTTTCAAACATGGAATATCAAAGTCCCGCATCATAAAGCGTCGCTTGATCTTATCAGGACCCTTGTTCCACACGAACTCAAAAAAACTTCTCTGCAACCCATAAATGGAGCTCTCAGGAGGGCATGGTAGCATCATTAATGTATTGGTCAGCTTTGACAATGCTAGATTTTTAAGAACTATCCGTTTGCCATATACCGTTAACCTCCGTTTCATCCATCCTCTAAGAAGATTCCTGACAAATTGGTTTTCATGGTTACACTACAAAGTGGAAGGCATCAAACTTAAGCGTGTTCGCAAGACTTAATCATGCGCGAGGGACTCTAGATCAATAACTGGACGATACAACGAGGTCATTGAAAACCGAATGGCTCCTCGGATATCATATATCCACGCTGTATTCAGAATAATTCAATAAAAATAAGACATTTTTTGGGTTTCCCGTTTTCAGTCTTAATTCTTTCCAGCCCATTGACAAATAGGTGTAAGCAATGCTTTCATGTGTTGGGAAGAAAACCATCAAGATTCTGGAGACATCTTGCGAGTACATATACCTAGGTGCTGGTCAGTAGCGGCGGAACACCATCAATTAGGGGGGGGGGCACTGCCAACTTTTGGTCCCATTCTTTCCATGCAACGCCCATAGGGCTAATGTTAAAATGCCAAAATCAAAGGGGGCACGGTGTCCCGATGCCCTCCCCGTTCCGCCGCCTATGGTGCTGGTGACGAATGAATATAAATGTGAGGACGCTTTCATTTACTATACACATTGCGCTGCAACTGTAGGATGTGTTTCTAAATTCTAGGCAAAACAAACGTTGCTCAACATAGGTACATGCCACAGAGCATAATAAAGCCAGCATTGTCCTCATTTTGGTAAACCGGTCTAATAAACGTCATCCGTGTGCGATGCCGAGCAAGGGCGGCGCCACCGTGGGGGCAGTGGGGGCAGACTGCCCCCACTGGCAGGAGGCCTTGGGGGCAAGACTATGTTTTTGCCCCCACAAAATTTGGCTGATGTTGAAATGGGAACAGAAGACCGGTGCAACATTCATGATAGGCGGTTATAGTTGTACGCCTGTTTTTGACGGTCCCCGTATCAAGTGCATCAGCAGAACGTTCGTTCTCGGATCGTCTGTCGCATATCTCGTACTCCCACTCATTCTCCTACTCATTTTCGTTCACCAGAAGGCTGCCCTCGAGCTTGACCTCGAGAAGGTTGAGAGGCAGTTTGTCAAAATCGCCCAGAGAAGAGATCATCCTCTTTTGGGGACCCTTAGACTGTCACTGAGACTGAGTTTTGGGAGGTATGACAAAATGTGATAGGTAGGCATGTATATCCGATTTAGCTGGAAATGTATGTGGATCGCCCTAATGGAGCTTATTCTGGTATCAATCGTGTGTGAGAGAATCGCACATATACGCACTACGGTAAAAAAGAGAACTAGGTACTGATTATTGTTTTGAGGAATGCACCATTTTACATCTCAACATAACATTTTCACAGGTTTGTGTCTCGCAATCTAGTTTTATAGTTTTATTTGCTCGCGACTCGCTCGGGCCCAGGGGGGTAATCCCACCCACCGCAGCCCGGGGGTAGCCCTCCCCCCTGTCTAGCTCCGTAAATAAGGCAGCTACGGAACCAAAAATGGTACAGCCCACCGCTAAAGTAATGTGTGGTTTTACCAATCTCAACGGCTGGCTTTGACCGACGATTTTTAAATGCGGACTGATTGAAAAGAAGACGTCAATAGACAAAGTTGTAGCTGCAAGGGTGAAGATACATGTAAGCTACAGTTAAAGTCTCGTTGCAGTCTGGCTAATCGTTCCTAAGCTTCAGAAGCAGAACATACCCATGACTGAAACCGCACATTACGTCTGCTGTGGACTGTACCAAACGAAAGGTATCAACGAGAAGATTCTATAGTAGGGATGACCGAGATTTTCGATTTTGCAATTTCAGTTCGGCTCACCTTTTTTCCGATGTAAAATTGAATTTTAAGGTGGGATGTCCTCTTGCAATTTTTTGATAAAAACACTCCTTTCGTAGTAAATTTGCACATTTGTATTTAACCCTCGCCGGGCCTATTGGTTTTCTATGTGCGCCCCGGCCGAGAATGAGAGGTTGGTACGACCCCCATCGCCGTTTCGCCCCTAATTGAGCTAGAGTCTTGGGGAAAGAACGAGCGTGTGCGCAGTTACAAGACGCAGCGATTGGTACCCGATTTTAAGGCCTGAGATTAACTGGTGACCTCTGAGGTCAGGTCAAGAGGCGCAAGACCGGTTCGGTTTTTGGTGAATAACTTCGCTCAAAATGGTCGCAGATCCACGATTTTGTCAGCATCGTGTTTTGCTATATCAGGCGCGTCGAATGGTATACTTTTTGTTCGGGTGAGAGCAAGTTAGGGTGTTGACCTCGGGTCAAGGTCAGGTCAGGTACCCTTAGGTCACGACCTTGATCAAAAAAGGTTATGCTGCATATCATTCGATTCAGCAGGTCTTCCTGAGTCCATTCGTGACTTTTGCGACTCGCTAACTCAATTTGATCGGGAGTTATTGACGAAAAACTCATATCACCTTAAGTATTTGATACACTCTTTATTTGGCTCATCACAAAACAGGATGGAATGATGACAGGTGGTGATATTACGCAGTTTGTTCAGCATTTGCATAACCTTTTCCTCTCAGTTTGTTTTGCCCTTCCTAGAGCAACTTCTTCGACTCTTCTCCCAAGCTTCTCCACTTCTACCGTGAGACTCTTCTCCTAGATGATCACTGGACTGGAGGACTGAATCTTGCATTGGATTTCAGTCACTGCGCCAGGATAAGCGGAACCAGCTCCTTCACGGTCTCTCTCACACCGATCTTCTTTCTCGCTCTTTCTTTGTCGATCATCAGCTGTTCCTGAATCAAAATTCCTCTTTGCAACACAGCCCTTACGGCTGGTAGCTACTTCATTCTGGTTAAACTTTCTACCATTTCCGACCAAATCCCTTATCTTGCCGCCAGATGCCTTCCTGATGGTTCGTTTGACCTAAGCATCCATCTACGTTTAGCTTTGGGCTATCTGCTTGAATTATGGGCCCTGATGGAATAGGTATAAAAACTAAAAAGGCATCAGAAATCGCCGCACTCTATCACTGGACTCGGATGAATGGAAGCCACCAAATCGCTTAACCTACTGATCCTATTGATATGTTTAATGTTTAATTGTTCAGCTATATTCCTTCAGTGCACTTCGATGGTGATTGTTGGACGTGACGTTGGTAATCTATTGCAAACAAATTTGAATAAAATTGATTTGAATGATTTGTATCAGCTGAAAAGTCAATTGTATATTTTGATAGAGTTATTTCAACAGATTTGGGTACTAACCTTAACACCAGCATTGACATGTGCCTTTTCACTACATGACAATAGTAGGAAAAATTATTTAAGGGCATAGTTATAAGCTTGCATCCAACAAATCGATATCGTTTATGTCAGTACCTGTAACAATATGTGTGAACAACCAATCAGTGCCGTTGTATTGTTTCTGCCGAGGGAGAGGCTTTAGTCGCCAATGCCTCTGGCAAGATTCAGCAATTCTGGAAGAGTTTAAATTGCTCTGAAGAGCAGGCTTCACCTGTTTCGTAGGTTTTTGCAGCCGCCGGTATTCCATCCAACCTGATGTTTTGGACTCGTACGCCGTATGGTGAGGTTTCGAAGCAAAAGACCATTCATCGATAAGAAAGAGGAGGTACGGAACTGATGTTGCAAGTATACCACTATAACATCTGGAAACAGTTCCCATAAAACTGCATTTTTACTACGGAAGATGTACCCTGATCAATTTTTGTCTCATGTAAGACCCTATCTAAAATTAAATTTTACATAGGAAAAAGAGTGAGCCGAAGCCGAACTATGAAATTCGTCCGATTCGAAGTAATCTCGGTCAGCCCTATTCTATAGCACCTTAACTTTTTGACCTTAGGTCAATTTTCAAGGTCAAAAGTCAGGGTCAAAGGCAAAAACCGGCTCTTTTGTAGTGGTCTCAAAGTACGTGTTCCAGAGGACGGCATGGTGCATAAAACCGGCTAAAATGGATGCTAAACGAAAGGAGAGAGTCTGAGGATTCCGATGATGTGCATAACATTCAAAGTCAAGGTCACGGTCGTGATCAAAATTTACCACAAACTTCGCACTTTTCTTATATCTTGTATGCTAAATTCCGAGATGTTTTGAAATGTTTTGAAGCTTAACGGGCCCCTATTTGTGCTTTAGCTTACGATACCAGGCTGCTAAAAGGTTAAAGTCACAAGAGAGTATCCTTGCTAGAGGCTATTTCACTTATTTAAGTCAGGCATAATAATTATGACATGTTTTGCCATCCTGAGGCTCTAAATTAATGCTTAGAGCAAAATGGATGCCAGAATCGTGATCAGCGGCTACGAAATCATCACTAACAACCTTTCATGTGTCAAAGTGAACCAAACGTCATTCGAGGTCACGTGAAGTCAACATAAAACTTGACCTTTTCCAAACAATATATATGTTATTCGACGCGTCTCGACCAGACGAATGCGAAAGTACCGCTGCCGTAGCTCTATGACCATTTTATTGACGTTATTTGCGAAAAAAAAAACTCAAGCCTCAGCTCGGGGTCGTTGACCTGACCTCTGACCTCAGGTCAGGTCACCAACGTTACTTAAGTATTTTTCTAGGTTAAATGCTACACGACCGTGCTCGTTATTTATCTTTATCTCCAAGACTCTGTTTTGGGCAGCTGGTTGAAGTTCGCGTCTGTCACACCAAAGTTTGCCGTGCAGGAGTCTAGAAAAATCGGCCCTGAGACGTTATCAAGAAGGCCAGGTCCAATTTGTTTTGCTTCAAAAGATTTCAAATTTATGGGGGATAAGGTACAGCAAGTTTCGTCTTTCTACTTATAAGCGTTAATGAGGTATCGCAAATATTCGTCAGGGGAGGCGAAAAACGCTCCCTCCCCCCCCCCCCCGTTCCGGGCCCGCGAGGGTTAATACGTATGCAATATGCATGAAACCTGAAACCATAATAATTTTTAATTGGCAACATCTAGGAACAAGGTGCTCATGGATTTTGCAGATCGGGGTATCAGACAACAGTCGGGTCACCTCAAGCTTGCCCCCACTGGCGAAAATTCGTGGCGCCGCCACTGATGCCGAGACTATAGAACTGGAACCATTTGTTTACGTGAGTTACCTTTATCGTTATGAGGAATTTGGTTTCTAAGATATAAAACCAGTATAACGCCTTTTGGGGCGATTAACGGAGCGAGCGAGAGGGTGGGCCTTGCACGTGCGAAATTGCGAGGGGGTACCTCCAACTGACTTGTGCACGGCACCCTACTAACCGGTCTCTAGCGATGTGCCAAATTTGAGCACAATCGGCCCAGCCGTTCTCGAGATTTGGAAGCGGCACCCTGCACGTGCGCACGTGCAAAATGGGTCCCAACTGACTTTTGCACGGCACCCTACTAACCGGTCCCTAACCATGTACCAAATTTGAGCGCCATCGGTCCAGCCGTTCTCGAGATCTGGAATCGACCCCTGCACGTGCGCACGTGCAGCAGCACCCCAACTCTGGCACATGGATGTGCATTGCCTAGTGGGTGCCTACCTACATGCCAACTTTCAGCGCAATCGGCCAAGTAGTTACCGAGATATTGCAACAATTACAAAAGTGACACCTCTTCGTTTTGCACGTGGCACGTGCATAAGGGGTCACCCACATGCATCGGGAATAGTCCAATACTTGGTAGAAGGAATGAAGCTACCCTACAAAAATTACCGCGTGCAAATCGGTCAAGTGGTTGCTGAGATATAAGCGTCGCAGAATCGTGACCACGGCCGGCCGGCCGGCCGCTCATACTCAGAAATTTCCGTTATTCTACGTAAGACTCCGCTCGCTTCGCTCGCTCCGTAATCATTTTAAAAATGCACTCACATGACATTCACCGTATAGTCTTCCTCAATCGAAGTTAATGATATTCAAGAATCGAGATGGCATTTGAGACGTGATCGCATTTTTTCTGGGCACTGGCCATCGGACAGTACTCACGTGTTTGTTGAGGATATTTTGCACCGTCTCCAGGTCGTCCTGCTGACAGGCCCTCATTAGCGGGGTGACCGGCTCACCAGGCGGCGCTGCGATCGGCTGGTCACGCACCGTGTAACTCGCCGGCATCTCGGCCACCGTTGCCATGACGACCGCTGTCGACACAAACGAGATGTGACGAGTGGGGCCTCTAATAGCCTCAGGGGTGAGTGGGGACACAGTCGTGGTCGGTGCTACTTATTTAGCCTGTCTGGGCTTCCAGTCCGGGTAGCGGTCACTGTCAGGGTGCATAGGCGTGACAAGGAGGGGTACCGGGGCAACGTGCTTGTCCCTAAATGTTGGAATGAAATGAAAAGGAATAAGGATGAAGTATTTTTTCCTATAAAATATCAATAGATGAGTCCTCTAATTACATAATGGCTGAATTAATATAAACGTCAGGCTGGCCACACTCTATTTTTTTTTTGTAAAAAGAAAATAATCATGTTTTTCGGAATGCACAAGGACAATGAGCCTGCATCTTGTTATGCCATCAGTAGCCTTTGTGATGCCCACAACGAGCACAAATGGTGCTTTCCCTGGCGGGGCTCGAACCAGCTGAGCAGTGACATCAAAGGAGCAGCTGAATGACGTTGTCTGTAGTCTATAGGCCGTCCGCAGGGGAAGGCAGTTATTGAGCGGACGTCACACAACAAACTAGCCTGAGACGCGCCTCGCTGACGACTGAGCTGGAGTGCGGCATTGGTTTGACGTGCTGCCACTTCTACGTCTCTTCGGGTGAATATCCAGCAATTTACATCCGCATAAAGCACTAATATAATTATGAATTCATTGAATGACTGTCAAATCTAAAGATGCACATTCGAATACGCCATTGGTTTTAAATTCAGATGATAACATGGCTTGATGAAGGTCCGTTTGTCGGCCACCACTGGCACAGGCTTGATTCTCAGCAGTTGCAGCCCGCATAGTCAGATAAATACTTTACTTATTCCACAACATGGCATGGCCCAAGCTGTCATAAAATATTTGGACGATAATTTCGTAATCACAAGTGTTGCAAAGGAAGCAGCATTCCTAGGAATGATGCGGTCGCCGTTATATAAGAGTGGTTGCAATGCTACTGCTGCTGCGGAGTTTTCTGGTCGCTTACTATGAAGCTGACGGATCGATGGTTTCCATAGGTGCGGTCGTCTTCTTAGTCTCAGTAATCAATACTGTTCAGCTGTCCTCTGGCACTGCAGCAGTGTAGGCTGAAGTACTGCGCACCATCAATAACTTTTTATACATAATTTAATTGGAATTGTAAAATCGAGCTCAAAGATTCTTATATTCATGTATAAGAATGCATCTAATCAGAATGATGCATACTGTTAGTAACTGCACGCATAGGTATGTACAGGTTCGCGCAAATATGTGCCGATGCATGTCGCATACCTATATGCACAGCTTTGCAAATTTACCAATATAGGTATGCAATGTGCGTCATATACGAGCATTGATTGCATCTTATGCAATGCATATGCAATGCATGCATAATATGCATCGATTTATGTGATTAAGGCCGTACTGAAATTTGACAGAAAAAAACATCCAAGAGACCGGAATTGAAGGAATATACGTGACAGGACAAGACTAGGCTTCTCGATCGTTTTATGTACTCACGTCTTGTGCTGATAATAGCCATCACCTGTGAACCATCTACACTGAATGACACCCTTTTCTTAGTCACCATCGAGCAAAATGGTTATCTGTGTTTAGTATTGACACGACATGCTGACATTGAAGTGTGCGCAGCAACCGAGAACTCAGAATGAATTATGAAATGATTCGGATGACCACACGTCGATGGTTATACGGCTAAACAGCCGGGAAATTTTCTCACTTCACAGCGTTTCACACAATTCCACCAGCTCAAAAATGCCCGGGTGCAGCAAAAATGCACAGAATTTGCTTTCACAATCGTCACACATAGTGAGTCTTCCTCAATCACATCATGCAAACCGATTAAATCACTGCTCACTGATAATTAGTACTATCAGCAGCTGAAGTGACCACCCCCGACGTCAGACGCTCCACAACTGACGTGCTACATGGACCGGAGTGCAGCCCAGAGCCGTGCGCAGCGTCTAACAATGCCGGAACAGAGCGTTCGGGTCCTGCTGGCACTGCATTGCATGCCATATAAACGAGACTTGTCTGTTTGGCCATGGCGCGATTGGAGCCGTCTGTTGGCTGAGCCGCAACCAGTGACAATTTGGAATATTGGAACATGAGCTTAGTGGAGCCCGAGCAAACACTTACAGCACGCAACTGTGAAATTGTGTCATGTCTGGTGACGTTTCCGCGTTTAAGTTAATCATCTGGAAAGAAAGCCTTCATTATCCTTACTAGGACGTTGCTACTGTTTGCTCATCTTGCTTGGTAAATAGCAATAGAAATTGTGATATTATAGACAAGCTACTTTATAAAGACCTTAGAATTTGCAGTAAATGGTCCAGAGTTACAGAACCATGGTCGGTGAAATGTCATGATGATTGTATGAGTTTACGGACGCCTCGGCAACAAAGACCATATGGCATGCTGAAACGTCAGTCACAAAAAAACACTGCTATTATTTCCCTGCTTATCTGAGGCTTGCATTAACGCTTCTTGAATAGCTATTGTTAAAAATGGAAACGCGACAAACGTCGACAGCCGGCATAGCGCTGGCTCTCAGTGACTGCGTGGTATACTGCGCCGCAGTACACCACTGTAATGCGGCACAGTCTACGTCGCAGTGCGCCAAGCGATGCCGAGCGGCGGTGGTTTACAGTGGTCCTTAGTCCTCACAAATACGTTTAAATAAATCCGCTTTTCATGCTAAGGCCGCCCCACACTGGACCTCGCATGCGGGTTGCGAGTTTTTGGGTTTTCGGGTTTCTTCAAAATCAAATAATACAATCTAGGCTGAGTGACCCACACTACCATCTAACAAGCGAGTCTGCATGTTTTTAGCTCGCGAGCGACCTTGCATTGCATTCCAAAAGTTGATTTTGAGTCAACTTTCGATTTTCCTCGCTGCGAGGTCTGCGAGTTCTGCGAGGTTTGCGGGTTTTTCATCGAAGCCGAATTTTGGTTCGTTGCGCTGGTATTGCGACTATATGTAAGTTTCTGAAGGTGTACCGGCTTCACTGCATTCATGAAGGTTCCATAAGAAAACGGTCTAATCACTCTATGAATTAGTATTATGCCCGCAAACTCAAAACCCGCAAACCCGCAACCCGCATGCGAGTTTCAGTGTGGGGCGGCCTTTAGGCATGACAGTAACACAAGACGCATGAATATGCGCGATAATCGACTTCGGTATGCACTGTATCGCTCACTGACTGAGCATAAGGAAAGGCAAAAAAGAAGGCTTTGTTAAGACGATATGACTTATTTATTATGTTGGCTGTTTGCATCAATGCTGCTAACAAATAACTGATCTTTCCTCTCCTCATTTAGATAAAGTATTGTTCAGCAAATTTCGTCAGCCAACGGTTGATATTGAACCCTGAACTGAACAGCGGCCGTATTTCAAACAGCGATTGGATCAATGCATCCTGCAATGCACACGCACGTAGGTACAGACATAAAAATATATACCTTCGCGAATTAAGGCATGCATGTGAAGCACAGACAAACCATAGACCTCTGTAGTCTGTATACAAAGGTCTATGGACAAACAAATGCTCATCTCACTAAGCATTTGTGTGGGGAAGTGGAGTTAGCTGAAGTATGTACACAGTGGCCAGTGCTTTTCGCTTTGGCTCATCAATCTCACTTTGACGATATCTGACTCGTTCACCCGCATTGAACCGCGCCTTACAGGATCAAACAGTTTGTTGGGGTGAGCTCGAGGGCTCCGGCTGGTTGAGCTAACTCAGCTGTCTCCAACATGCATTCTCCGTAGCACATATTTTCCTACACGCTGATTAGCTTTGTTCTTAAGTGAGTTGAACGGAACAAAACTAAAAGACATCGCCAGTGCTCTGGCACGTCCTGTCATTGACAACGAAAGCAACGCATTCTAATGCATATTTGATTTCGTCTAAACAACGAGTCCTGGAGCTAACGTCATTCTCCAGCAATGCAGAGAAAAACAGGTACAAGAACGGCTCCAGGGCCAGAACAAAAACACCTCTAAAAACTGACCCGTCTGGCATTTACTGGACATTAACATCCCAGTGGCACGAAATCCGATGGGGACACATTCCATTCGATACAGTGGCAATGGCTGCGACCTTGGCTTTAATCAGAAAACTCGGGAAGCGAATGCTCGCACATGGATTTCCACACCAGGCGGCATTATTACAAACAACATACATAAGCCCAACCTGGATACGTTTCAATCCTTCATTAGCTTGCAAACGTCCTGCTATCTCCGATTTTCTTTTCATTTTATTTTAGAGCTGCAATCAGCGTACTCGACCAATGTCCCAGCGTGCCACGCACCCCAAATGTGCTTCATCTGCCGCTCAAACGCGAGTTGTGACGCTAATAGCGGAGTTCGGTGCATTAGGCACCCCATCTCGGTATATTGGCACCCCGACCGGTGCACGGCGCGTCGCCTCCCCAGCCCGACGTGTCATCTCCCAGCCCAGTGTATCACCATTCTGGTCCGGTGCATCGCCCACACTGAAAACAATTTAACGCAAGGCTGGCGAGTAAACCGGTGTTTTACGGGTACCCCTATCCGCAACCATTTTTAACCACCCTCCTAGGAGTAGTGCTAGGTCCCATTGCGGTGCAGTCGTACTTGCTCTGAGCGGATATAGCGAACAAGTCCGCTGAGAGCAGGGACGACTTCACTGCAATGGGACCTTACTGTACTCCTGGGAGGGTGGTTAAAAATGGTTGCGGATAGGGGCACCCGCAAAACACCGGTTTACTCGCGGGCCTTGGGTTAAATTGTTTTCAGTGCACCGCCACAGCTCGCCGTGACAGCCCAGTGTATCACCATTCTGGTCCGGTGCATCGCCCACCGCCTCAGCTCGGCGTGACATCCCCCCCCTCTGCAACTCGGTGCATCATCTCCAAGTCCAATGTGTCGTCTTTACCAGCCCCATATATTATCACCTACACACCCGGGTGTATCACCTCACAGCCCAGTGTATCACCACCCCCGCGGTCGTG